AAGAGAAAGGTGAGCCTAGAACAGAGCTCTTGGGAAATCAACATCTCAGAAAATAGAGGAAAAATAACTGAAGAAGACAGGAAGACATGATCAGTGAGGTAGGTAAGCCAAGAGAGGGAGATATTTTGAAAGCCCTGAGAGAAGAGTCTTATCCATATAACACTTGTATTGTTATTATGTATAAAATATAGATCCATAAATCTATTTTTCCCCTAAAATATATGTGTTTATAAGAGAAACTTTATATTATCCTATCCATGAAATCCTATATTCACTGCACTGGGTTTCTGTTGTTATATATGTTAAATACATTTAACTATTTTTTTAAGTTTATTTCTGTACCACCTGAAGTCACCTCAAGAGGCGTTGAGAGCAAAATTATAATAGAAACCATGGCATTTTAGTGGCCCAAATATAATTTACTTGAGAGATTTTCTCTAGTAGGAAATACTAGGCATTGGAATTGGACACTGGTCCCAGTGGAAGGGGCAAAGGAGTGAACATTTTCAGGAGCTGGTGAAAGGAAAGTTCCAGTAATTGGACATAGTGGTATAAGCTGGCTTGGAAAAGGAGGAGGCTGACAGGAGTAGAGATTCGGGTCAAAGAAAGGAATATAGAGGCTTAAAATATCAGACAGAGGAGTTTTAGAGGAAGGAGAAGGCAAGGGCCAGATGGCTGAAGAGAAGGAAATACAGAAGTCACTCAATTAAGAAATCAAAACCTTGAGAAGATGGGGGTGGAATAAGCAATCCTCACTGGAAACCTCTCAGGACACTGACTAGCATTGTAATGGAAAATTTGAGAGCCCATGAACCAAAGACAAGTGACCAAGAGATTAGGTTGTGGTGATGATGAAAAAAGGTCAAGAGAATGGAAAAGTAGAAGCATTTTCACATAAGCAGAGATGAAATAATGAAAGAGACAGTAGAGGGAGCTTCAGGCAAGAGATAAGACTTTGTTCTGTGAAGAACTGGTGTTGGGGCTGAAAAGTTTATACAAAAACAAAAAAAAAACAAAAACAAATATATATATATATATATATATGTGTGTGTGTGTGTGTGTGTGTGTGTGTGTGTATTTACAGAGATCCAAAGGCAAAGAGTTGGGAGATCAAGAAACAGAAATCAAGAGCCAGGCTGGAGGAAGAAAAGAGCAATATGGACAAAGATGGTGGTGCAGAAGGACTGAAGAAACAAGGAAGAATGGGGTTCCTGATAAGCACCACTCAGCCACCTCCAACCCACAGGAAGAAGCAGGAATGTGCCTTTGAGGAAAACAGAGTTCCTGGAAACAAGAGATATATATCTATAGGAGGGCCATCTTGCCTTGTATAAAACCCCCCAAGCCAGTTATTTCTAGAAAATTACAAAAAACTTCTAGAGAAAAGAAGCCCCAAAACCTCAACTTTTTGTTTGTTTGTTTATAAGGAATAATCTTTCCATTGCTCACAGCAGATCTATTTTCCCTCTGCAAGCCCTAAAAACAAGGCTCTGCTAGAGGTCAAACCAGCCCAAGTAAATCCATGTTATTCTCTTAATGCCATGATTTCCTCCAGGTGAACAGCAGAGGGCAGCAAATAGCCATAAAGGAAGCTGAGCCCAAGCAGGAACCGAGAAATAGTGAAGGGAAAGTGAACCAGGCTTCAGCAATCATATCATGCTCCCATGGTACCCTATGTCATACTTATAATGTTGTATTACAATTGTTTCTCTTCTCCTATAGATGAGAAGGGGAGACTCCCAGCATGATATGGTTAAAAGACAGATATCTGTCTTTTAGGAAAACATTATGTGGAAAAAAGTAGTGGTTTGGGAGGGAATCTAGGCTGACTCTGAATCTGGGCTGTGGGCAAGTTACCTAATATTTCTGAGTCTTGGTTTTCTTCTACGTAGAAGGAAGATTTTTTTTCCACCAGGTTAGTTGTAATGAGAAAATAGATAAAACATGCCTAGCACAGTATGTCACACATAGTAAACACTCAATAAAAAGAAACCATTGATATTTACTGTAGTTATTATTGCTGTTATCATTATTATAGCCTCTTCTCAGGGTCAGACACTAGAGGAGAAGGGGAAAAAATCACAACATTAGGAAATAAATTGGAATTAAGAGTTGGGATCCCTACGTCCTCAGCTCAATACCCCTAAATGGCGCAATAATAGAAGCAAGAGAAGGCACAGTGGGCCCAGGACTGTGCTTCTAGGGGTTAGAGCATTGGCCCACATATCAAAGGATCTCAGTCTCTCTCTTTCTTTCTCTCTCCCCTTCCTTCCTTTTTTCTTCTCCCTCTAAAATTCAATGGGAAAAATATCCTTGGGTAAAGATTAACAACAACAAAAAAGAAAGCCACAGTTGAATCACCCTCTTCTAGAAGATGCAGCTTCCCAGATTTTGGTTTATTTGTTGGGTCGGTGGGGAGTATGGGGAATGGCTTGTTGGTATTTTTCATGTCAGACCAGTCTAGCTCAGGTACCTGACAGATTTTTTACAGGCACCTCAGAGCACAAACTGGTTAACTAAACAGCCACGTGCACCCCTCAGAACTTACATTGCAAACCTCAGAAGCTAGCAACAAGTGGTGGAGGTCTGGAGCCCGGGGACAGCTACCTGCCTGGTGCCCTTCATAATGTGTCTATCCCTGAGACTTAAGTATTATTAGGAAGCTATTTCCTGTGCCACAGGGGACAGACAAGAGAAATAGCACAGGCTTCCTTGTTATTGGAACTTCAGATTTCCCTTAAAAATTAGAGGGGGAAAATACTGTGTTTAAAGCAAACTGAAAGTTAACATCTGTGGAGAGAAAAAAAGTCAAGATCTCTTTGACAGTGTGATACCCCAAGTGGCTGTTTAGAGTAAAAACAGTCTTCAAGAATCTATCCTCCATATATAAAAGACTAGTATGCTAAGAGTCCCTCCGCCCATCCAACCAGTCACTATAACGTGCACTGACCACTAGGGGACAGACACTCAATGCAGGAGCTGTCATGACGTGCACTGGCCATTTACAGAGAAACAGCACCGTGGAACCAGTGCTGACAAAGCAACACTCGGCTTCCCCCAAGTGGGACATAAGCCTCACCATCACCTGGGAGCTAAAACCCATCAAATTGCAGCCAACGCTGCCCCCCAATGGCCAGCCCAGAAACGGTCGCTGTGAGAGCTGGGTAATGACATCATGTAGCAATGCCTGGTTTCCTCTCCCTAGCAACTAGTCTTACAGTTTCTTTAGCCCAGGAACATGACTTGCTTTATAGCCAGATGCAAATATGAAAATATTTTACATGTTAAACAAATGTCTGTGAAGTGTGTTCCCATGCCTTATCTCATTTGATCCTCACAGAAGTCCTGGAGTAGTTATATAGGAGACTTGGTGGAATCCTGTTTTCTTTTCATTAGCTGGAAAACGGAGATTTAGAAAGCTTGGAAACTTGACCCGACTGAAAAGAAGAAATGGTGGACCTTGGAAATGACTTCAAGTTTTCTCACTGCACAGAATATAGTCAAACACTGTTGCAGTTAAATATTTTACCCTTTGTTCTCCCTGCAATAATAATCTGCTCTTTGTTGATATTTACTGCTGTGTTGCTGACAATTACCTGAAAGAGAAGTTGGGATGCTTCATTGAGCTGGAAAAAGTTTAGCTAAATCAGAAAGCAGGTCTAATTAAGCAAGTTTACTCTCTCTATATAAAAGGCTAAGTTGAATCCCTCATGCACAATATATATAAAGCTCTCACTGGAGCCAATCACACACGTGTGTTTTGATCTGTCACTGTCAATCATGAATTTGGTTGACACTTCTATTATAGAGAAAGGGCAAATAACGATATTAAAATATTTCTTCTAATTAATTTCCTTTCAATGAGTACTAATCCGTGCACAGGGCCACTAGTATTTAAATAACTCTTAAGAATCACAACTGATAGAAATCAGAGACAGGGGGTAAATCTCTGGACTGGTAGAGCTAACATATATAGTAATAATGGGCATCCTCCAACATGTCCCTAGATTGCTGGTCATGGAGCTATCTCATACCAGAAGTTCTTAAGTTAGAAGATTCCTGAGTTAGAGGAAGCATACTTTCAAACCATCTTCCATTGGGCTCAAGGGACCATGTGGGCTTGTGTCATATTTAATGCAATATAAAAGAAACCCTTGCTGCCTGGAGTAAGGTAGGGAGGGTTGATCTCTGAGAAAACTCCCAAAAATCCAGATAAAGAGGCTGGTGGCAAAGAGTAGAAGAAGGTGTATTCCAGGTATAGGCACTATAGGATGGTAAGAACACAGAAGGAGCTGCTCTAATACTTAACCTAAAAGAGATAAGAACTACCCTTCCCTTTTTCTACTATACAATAGAGAGAAGGGATAATTTAAAGGACATTCCATGGTCAAAAATAAGTTTCCATTCTAGGCCACCTCTCCCAACAGGCTGGTGGTCTCACTTCATGACCAAATGAAGGTTTTCAATAATTTATTTTACATGAAGGTCACTGCTTTCACCTGTCTCTTCCCTCAAGCCCATAACCCCACAGTCCCTGAAATTCTCCTCTCCTTCAGTATTTCTTTGGTTCTGAGAAGATGTATATAATGAGCAAGAGCACAAGATTTGTCTCCTAAGAGAACTGAGTGCTTCCTTCTCTCCTTCTACCCTGTACTGCACACCAAAACAAGGGGAAGGCACAAGCACAAGCAAATTACAGAGTATGGGAAGTTTCATTCAAACCCAAACAACCACAGACAAAGAACCCAAGACCTAGGCCCTGGCACAGGCAGTCAGCTGCACCAAGCTCATCCACAAAAGATGGTTCTGAAAAGCCCCCAGACTCTCTGCAGGCCCCATCCATGCCCATTTCCTACTGCCTGGCATAAAGCATGCTTCATAAATCCAGCCAGGCCGGACTTAAAATCCTGGTAGGTATCCAAGAGCTTATGACTCCTCAAAGCAGAAGGGAACATCTAGGTGTTGGGGTGGCACACGGGTGTGGTTCTTGCTAGCCTTACCTCCTTTCCAAAGCAGGTAGATGGGCACCACGTAGAGCATAACATGCTGAATGTAATATACCTCCAATTCAAATGGGAGCTGTAAGGACAGAGGGAGAGGTGTTTCAGTGCAAAAAGCACACATTTCCATAGATTCTGAACTTGAACACTCTTGCTCTTTACAAGCCACATTTTAACAACCCCATGTATTTCACCAGTTCACCTCCCTTCACAATCAGACCAAAAAAAAAAAAAAAAAAACAACAACCACAACAACAAAAAAACCACCAAAAAACCCCCCAAAACCCTGAAATAAATATACCTATGACCTAGGCTGGCATCTTCCATTGTGTATTTTGCAGAGATGGTACTTGAAAAATGTTCACCTAAGAAAGTTGGTTACCCCATGACTTCTGTCTGTAAAAACCAGTGGGGATTGTGACTGAGTGGGATGGAGGGCTCTGGAGTCACAGGAAGTCCTTGAAGGGACCAAACAGACTTACTTGGACTCTCTCCATTTGAGCCCCATTACTGGGGCAGCAGCATGAAAAGAATCAGGAACATATGGGAAGGAAATGAATTGTCTGGCATCAGGGAGAGAGATGGTGGATGGGCAGCTTTCTTTTAGACAGAAGTGCTGGCAGAGGCCATTGTTATTTTTCTGAGACTCACCCCCATAGAGCTGAAAGGTAGGTGCCATATCTGAGTATCCATCAATCTGGCACACATTGTTTGCCCCATCTTGGTGATTCTCTGAGGTTCTGCTACCCCCAACTTTTGAGCCCACGTGAGTTGTTTCCGGTGGTTTTTCAATATGAACAGCCTATCTTGCCTCATACTTCAGATTTTCCTAAAACCCTCTCTAACAAGATGCATCTAACCTCTGCATACTCTATACTGCTTGCCAAGTGAACCCAGGCCTAGCACTAGTAGAAGTCTGGCATTTGTTCATACCTTGGTCTCTCCTTAGCACTTCCAAGTGAAGCACAAGTAGCAACAATCTGCAGCTAACTCTGTAGCTCACTCTGTAGCTTGTACCATGTGGCTCCAAGCTGTACACAGGCAGTGGCTGACCTTGCACCTCCCAAAAGTTCCCAGAGCAAGTGAACCCAATGGACAGATTCACACCAAACTGGATTAAAACCCCACCATGTACAAGAGTGACACACTCAAGGGCCGAACTCAGTGAGCACCAGAAACCCATTGAAGCAAGTCCTGTTAGGGTTGAATCCTGCATAGCAGCTCCTCTGATGTAGTCATGGCTGGTCAGCATGTGGCTCAATCCTTCCCAGTGATGTGCCAATGGAAATGAAGGCTCAACTACAACAAAACTGTGCATACAACTCACACAGGGGCATAGCTGGAGTGCCCAACTCAAGTGAATGGGGAAGCTGTGCCACTGGGGCCTACTATACAAGGCCACTCTATCAATTCCAGGGAACATGGAAGCACTACATAGAAAATAAAACTGGAAAGCAGCCAAAATATAGAGAAACATAAACAGGTCCCAAATGAAAGAACATGAGAAATCTCCAGAAAAAGAACTAAGGCAAACCCTAATTGGTTTGGCTCAGTGGATAGAGTGTCAGTCTGCAGACTAAAGGGTCCCAGGTTTGATTCTGGTCAAGGGTATGTACCTTGGTTGCTGGCACATTCCCAGTAGGGGGTGTGCAGGAGGCAGCTGATTAATGCTCCTCTCTCATCGATGTTTCTAACTCTCTATCCCTCTCCCTCCCTCTCTGTAAAAATCAATAAAATATATTAAAAACAAAAGAACTAAGGCAAGCTAATGACCAGATATAGAGTTCAAAACAATGCTTATAAGGATGCTCAAGAAACTTAGTGAGAAAGCATGAAAAAGGAAATAGAAGCCACAAAAAAGAACCAGTCATAAATCAAGGCTATAGTAACTATTCGATATAATGAAGAATACATTATAGGGAATTACCAGTAGAGTAGATAAAACAGAGGATAAAGTGAGTGATTTGGAAGATAAAAAAAATAAATAAATAAAATATACAATAAGAACAGAAAAAGAAAACATGTTTTTAAAAAATGAGGATAGTGTAAGGAGCCTCTGGTACAACATCAAACATACAAATGTTCACAACATAGGGGTGCTGAAAGAAGAGAGAGAGAGCAAGGAATTGAAAGCCTATTTGAAATAAATTATGACAGAAAACTTCTCTAACTTGGTGAAGAAAATAGACATTCAAGTCTAGGAAGCACAGAAAGTCCCAAACAAGATGAATCTAAAGAGGCCAACATCAAGATACATCATAATTAAAATGCAAAATATTAAAGACAAATGATCTTAAAAGTATAAAGAGAAAAACAGTTAGTTACTGACAAAGAAACACCCATAAGACTGTCAACTGATTTCTCAGCAGAAACTTGGCAGGCCAGAAGGGATTGGCAAGAAATATTCAAAATAATAAAAAGCAAGGACCTACAACCAAGATTACTCTACCCAGTGAAGCTATCATTTAGAATCGAGGACAGATAAAGAGTTTCCCAGACAAGAAAAAGCTAAAGGAGTTTGTCACCATCAAATCATTATTACAAAAAATGTTAAAGGGCCTACTTTAAGAATAAGAGGGGGGGGAAATGTAAAAAATATTAATAAAATGGCAATAAATACATATCTATCAACAACTGAATCTAAAAAACAAAATAAATACGCAGAACAGAAACAGATTCATAGATACAGAGAACATTTTGATAGTTGCCACATGGGAGAAGGGTTATGGGATGATTGAAAATCTTGAAGGAATTAAGAAGTATAAATTGGGGGGGGGGGGGGGGGAAACAAGATGGTGGCATAGGTAAACACCTAAATTGCTGCCTTGCACAACAATTTCAAAAGTACAACTAAAAGACAAAATGTCTATCACCCAGAACCACTGGAAAGTTGGCTGAGTGGAAGTTCTACAACTAGAAGGAAAGAGAAAAGAGCATTGAGACATGCACAAGGGCTGAAAAGCAGAGGTACAGAGGCACTCAAATCGGGCTGGCAACAGGCAACTGGGAGCACCGCTTTTTTCAACCCGAAGGGAGACAAGCTACTGATTACTCTGAACTCCAGTTTCTAGGGAGATGCTGGGGACCCAAATTCCTATGGGGAGAAGCTGGACTGTCTACCATGGGTCAGAAAGTGAGGGCAGCTTACTTGCAGAGATGCGCACAACAATCATTGTATACTGCACTGGGGTACGGGACACAGGCTCTTGGAAACAGAGATGCAGAGATGACTGACTGGCAGCCATTGCTGTTTGCCACACCTTAGCCTAGTGACTCCCCGAGACCCTGTCCCTCACAATCTACGAACCCACCCAAACTCCACGCAGTGGCTTTCGCATATAAATGGCCTTCCGTATAGCAGTTTAACCTAAAAAACTGAAGCTCTGCTCAGACAGCTCCAAAACATCCAAACTCCAAACAAAGAGGAAAAAACTGTAGTTCTCGCTGTAGCTCCTGCTGGCTGGCCTCAGACAGTAGCTGACCTGCATCCCACTGGAGATCCAGAAGCTAGTGTATCTAGTGGTCAGTATGAGATGACACAAGATTTCAACTACTCACATCTTTAAGTGACACATTCAAGATGCAGACTTAGTAAGCACCAAAGCCCCAGCTAAAACAAGTTCTACCCTGTAAGTGTGTCTCCAGCATAGCAGTTCTTCCATTATAGAAACAGCAGGTCCTCACAGCCAATTGCCTGGAGGTCAATTCCTCCCAGGGATACCAACAACAATCAAGACTTAATTAAAACAAGGCTGTACACACAGTCCACAAAAGGGTGCACTAAAAGTATCCACCTCATGCCAAAACCGGTTTTCTCAGTGGTAGAGCGTCAGTCTGCGGACTGAAAGGTCCCAGGTTCGATTCCAGTCAAGGGCATGTACATTGGTTGCGGGCACATCCCAGGTAGGGGGTGTGCAAGAGGCAGCTGGTTGATGTTTCTCTCTCATCGACGTTTCTAGCTCTCTATCCCTCTCTCCTCTCTGTAAAAAAAATCAATAAAAAATATTTTTTTTAAAAAGAGTATCCACCTCAGATAACAGGGAGGCTGACCCACTGGCCCATATAAAACACCTAACGCACAAAGCCACCCTACCAACTCAAGGAAGCAGCAAAAATGTGGAGATAAAGAAACAGATCACAAACAAAAAGAAATGGAAGAAAACAAATGACTGAATATAGAGTTCAAAACCACAGTTATAAGGTTTTTCAAGGATTTCCTAGAAAAGGCCAATAAATTCAACAAGACCCTCAAGGATATGAAAAATTTCAACTAGAAATTAAACATACACTGACTGAAATAAAAAATATTATACAGAGACCCAACAGCAGACTAGAGGATAGCAATAATCAAGTCAAAGATTTGAAATACAAAGAAGCAAGAAATACTCAACCAGAAAAGCAAAAAGAATCCAAAAAGTTGAAGATAGTGTAAGAAACCTCTGGGACAACTTCAAGCATACCAACATGAGAATTATGGGGGTGTCAGAAAAAGAGAGAGAGCAAGATACTTAAAACCTATTTGAAGAAATAATGACTGAAAACTTCCCTCAACTGGTGAAAGAAATGAATTTACAAATCCAGGAAGTGCAAAAAAAAAAAAAAAGGAATCTAAAGAGGATCACACTAAGACACATCATAATTAAAATGTCAAGGGCAAAAGACAAAGAGAGAATTTTAAAAGCTCCAAGAGAAAAACAGTTAATTACCTACAAGGGAGCACCCAGAGGACTGTCAGCTGATTTCTCAACTGAAACTATGCAGGCCAGATGCAAGTGGCAAGAAATATTCAGTGATGAATAGCAAAAACTTACAACCAAGATTACTCTATCCAACAAAGTTATTCAGAATGGAAGGTCAGATAAAGAATTTCACAGATATGAAAAAGCTAAAGGAGTTCACCACAACCAAGCCAGTACTATATGAAATGCTGAAAGGTATTATTTAAGAAGAGGAAGAAAAAAAAAAGTAAATATATAAATTGTGATCAACAAATACATATTTATCAACAAGTTAATCTAAAAATCAAGTGAATTAAAAATCTGAGGAACCGAATAAACTGGTGAATACAATAGAATCAGG